GCCCCCCCGCCCGCCCCCCCCCGCCGCGGGCCCCCCTGTCCCCGCCGCGCATCCTCCCCCGCCGCGCACGCACAAAACGACGGCTGGCTACACCGTGGGGCCGGGGCAGGCAAAATGGGACCTCGTCCCTGGGTGGGCTCGAACCACCAACCTTTCGGTTAACAGCCGAACGCGCTAACCGATTGCGCCACAGAGACTCCCACGAACACCCGCCTCCGCGGCGGCCCTGATGTAGCACACCGCCGTGGCCGGGAGTGCTCCTCGCTGGCTCCTCGTTCCTGCCCTGGGGACCTGCGGGCCACCGTGCACCCAAACTGCGCGTACAAACTCCGGCTCCTAAATCATGAGTCTCGCCAGATGCTAAAAGAGGACTGAGAGAACAGTGAAAAAGGCGGGTTTTCTTCTTCTAGCCTGTGTGAAAGACTCATTCCCAAAATCATTGCTCACAGCAGTGTTCTTCTTCTGGGGAATAAATTAACAAATCAGACTTAAACCAGCTTTTTCTTGGCTGCTGCTAATTCATCCACTACACGAGCAAGCTAAAATGTAATTCCCAAATATCATTGCTAAGTTGCCCTATTAATATTTGTAAAAGGTAATTTTAAGTGACTGCAGGGAACAGTTAGGCTGTTTAAAACAGGCAGCATCCCTCTCCACGTGTGTAAGTAAATTATATTTACCTTTCTAAGTGACTGAAAACAGCAGTGAAGAAAAGCTAACCTTCCTATTATCGTTTTATCGAAATCTGCTTCCAACATTACCTTGCAGTAAATCAACACCTACAGCTCCGCCAAGTACAAAGTTTTCACATCCAAACCTGAGCAAATGTTTTCCCCTTTTCTTTCACAGACCGATACTGTTTGAATCTCTTTGCAGCTCTACAATATGGGTTGCTACATGTTCTCCCTGTGGTCCCATGAAGCTCTGCCTGATGGCCCTTCCATGCACTGACAGCCTTTGGGGTCGAGCAGGCATGTGACAGCCACCACACCAGGACAGGCACTAACTCCTTTCCAAGCAGGTGCTGGTTACCTCCTGGTCTCTGCCCACCCATGACCAAGAAGTCCCAGCTCCTGAAAGTAGAGAGCCTTCAGCAGCAGGAGTAAGAGTGAGAGCGTTGTTACACCAGCTCTCATATTTTGCAGAAGACCTTGCTCTTCAACACTGTAAGACATCGTTCCTCAGCCCAGTGAATAACTTCAAGCTGACCATTTGTTGCCCACAGCTCAGCATTTCCAGTCCTTCCGATACTTTGAAGAGAGCTACATAAATGTCAGTATTATCACTCCCCCGCTCAATTTTTTTATTGCGTGTTGTTGGTACCTTACTGACCAACATCTTTTAAAACATGGAGAAGAAAGATAAGGTGTGCAAGTCCTCAACAGTAATTGAAATAATTACTTTAAAGATTGCTTTTTGGGGCACCATGCACACTGCGGCATGCTTTCCTACCCGGACCTATTCTCAATGTCAGCAGTTCACAGCCTGGACCACTTCTATTTTCTCTGTGTATGAGGGCAAGCAATCAGTCCTGTGATTTTATGCCCATGCAAATGGGTATTTAGTGGAATTAGCAAGATTCCAATCTGAACAAAGGCCTAACCCACAGAATGATGAACATTTAGGCATGGATTTTGGGCCCTGAAACATTTTACTTTATACACGCAAATATTCCCATTAGTTTTAATAACTGTAAACTTGACTATTTTCAACATCTGTGTCTAGAGGTCAGCTCTAAAAACGGACTTTGCTATGCTGATACTGGGCACAAGCTCTAACTTTGAGGTGTCTGAGAGGAGCGCAGGACCTGGCATTAGACATCCAAGGCTGCCTGTTCAACGCGTTGGGACAGCGAGAGTGCGGCAGATAAGGCTACAGAGTCACCTGGCACCTTTCTTCTCAGCATTCTTCCTCACTCAATCTCAGCCTTCCATTTAAAATCTTGCAACAGAAAAAGAAAATAAAAGGAACATGCACAACAGCCAATGCTACCTCTTCAGCTTGAAACCCACAGCTCAGCAAAAGTAGCGTGGATGACTTTCGCTGACTGCTGAGGCACTAACCAGTGAGCCATCATACCAGAAAGCAACATTGTCTATCACTGCTGAGTAAATGGAAAAGATTAGCTGTCTACCCTTGGGAGAAGGTTTCTGACTGCATCTTCAAAAGAAAGGAAGAGGCCAAGTGCTGTTCAAGGTGTTCAGAAACGAGAAAGGGATGCTACTTCAGATTAATCGTCCTCCGTATCAGTGTTTTGTTCTTTATTTCCAGACAGCTCTCTTCCTCAATAAGCTGTTTCTTGTGGATAGTATCTGGAGTTGCTTAATTTTTTTGTAATTAAGCATCTAGCATCTAGTACAGCATCTACTGTGTATAATTTAAATGCCATTACTGGATTCACTGATTGTGAATTATGTTTTATTTTGTATTTTTATAAAAACATAAATATATTAAATATGTCTATATTAAAGTATTCTACCATGTAATATAAAAATAATATTAAATAATAGCTAAATATTTTTAACATGATTTTATTGTTATTGTGGGATCTATGAACTTAAATGTCCATTGTTATGACATCCGTGACCTTCTTCAGATATAGACTTTGGTTCCTGAATGTCAGGGAAAGCTAATATAGGGCAGAGGGGGAAACTGGGTATTGTTTATGAGTTTTACAAACATACCATGTATTAAGCCTCTGTTAAGAAAAATAAGTCTAGTTATTCACCCTGAACTGTTTCTAATATCAATTCAGTAGGATATAGCAGGAACAAGAGACTCTTCCCACTTACATCACAGAATTAGTCGCTCTGTGTCATTCTAGAGTCAACGACTCTTTTTCTACAATTTCTCCCAAGAAAGGACTGTTTAGCCACCAACAAGCACATGCGCCTACATTATTTATTATTCTGTGTGTCATTTTTGGTGAACTATTTATGAACTCTCGAGTTACAACTCGGCTCAACTACATAAATTCGTAGTCACCAAAAATTTCAGAACAGCTACTTGGTTTCTGCCCGAATATATTTCTGATTGCTTACTTTGTAACAGAAGTCCCACCCAAAGATTTCTTGTGTTTTACTCTGAAACATATGATTCTGGTCCTTACCAGAATCAGGACGTTAAAAAAAAATGGAAACCTAACAGAATTCAACATTGCTATTGAAATTATTATAAGCAGAAAACAAGAGTTCCATTGCAGAAGCTTTTCGTTATGGAGCTGCAAGCATCACACCATGGAAAGTATATTCCTGAAGAAGGATTCAAAATGTTGGAAGAAGCAGGTATAGATACTTTTTCTTGATTAGTTGCAAGGCTTCTATTCTTTTCATTTTTCAAATAAAATACATTTGGAGGGGTTTTTATTCAGTTGTTTGTACACAGATTCGCTATTTTTCAGGTACAAAGGTGGCTTACCATATTTTTTTTAAGACTTTACTAACTAAATACTTCTACTCTTAGGTCTGTTAGTAAAATCAGAGAAGTGTTACAACTGAAAGGACATTCCTGCAAATAGGATCAACTTAAAAGTAAAGAAGAAGACTGAACAATAGTATTTTACTGACCTCTCCAGTTCACTTAGCTCTGGCTTCTCTTACAATGCAAGTCACGCAAACGAAACCTGTACCCAGATGAGAAAATCCAGAAATCTTGGGATGTTGCTAATTGCAGACTGCTGGGTAACCTAAAAGTCAACCGCTCTCCCAACCTCCATAATCATGTTTACCAAAAGGAAACGGCATAGGCTGCCTGGTTCTGGATCACGAAACGTATAGCTGCACTTATTTCATGTTCAGGAGAGAAAAAAAGTTGTTTCGGTGTGACTTGCGACAAAATTATAGAACAGCCATTGCTATTATCAGTAATTTGGAACATAGTCTACAGCTATGGAAAAAAAAAACCAACAAACAAACCAAAGAGAGAGGGCTACATTCAGAATTGGTCTTCAGATCTCACCTGACATACTTTAAGGAGAATGCAGTTCTCTGCAGTCTGTCTGTTCTGAGTGGCTACTGAAAAGAGCGCAATCATTACGGCAGTCAGTTTAATAATTTCCACAAAAAAAAATAATCTTAAGATACTGCTTCAAAAAAGTGAAAAGAAGAAAATTTTGCTGGTATAAAAAGTGAGCATAACACCGAGGAGAGTAATAATGATGCTTCTCACATAGCACTTATTTCTTTCAAGCATTTCTTATTATTATGGTAAGAAAGGGAGAAAATTCCTGGCCTTGCAGATTTTTTGAACTGCGCCCACTGAGAATGCTTAAGACTTCTTAAAATAATAGTGAATATCTTGAAAATAAGAATGAGTCTTATGCAACTGAACTTTAATGTTGTCTCTACAGAACACACGAGAAAGCAGAGGAACTGCCAGCCTGTGTTTTCAGGAGCAGCAACCTATTTTAGCATTTTCTGGAGTCCAGGATTCAGATTTAAGTTCTAAACATAGGCCTCAGTTCAGGAAAGCAACTGTATTCAGAGCAACATGAAAGCATATGTTAACTTCAAGTGCAATCAGATTACTAGCATGGTATAAAAGTATTTTTTAAAATAGGTTAAATTTAAGAAAAAAATGTGAAGGGCAAATTTTAGAGCAGACTCAAAACTACTGTTTGTTAAAAAATGAGAAGAACCCAAATTTAGCATCCTTCCAATGCTTAGGAAAACACATATCCCTGAAATACGCTCACGAGCAAAGACCTACCTCAGTTCTAAAACTTATTTTGCAGGTGATCACACTAGTGAGCTTTAGGTCTGTCCAAGTGCTGTAATTCAGCCAGAACACTAATGTCTGAAGGAACGGCAGTGAGAAAGGAAAACGCAGGGAAGCTTTGTGGATCCACTCCAGATATTTCCAAACAGGAATCTGACATGTTCGGCCAGGCAGCAATCTTAAGAAACCTCTGCTGACAGGTTGCATGGGCAACACCACTTCTGGAGGCCTTTTCTTAATCAGACTGTTTCAAAGAGATCAGGCATCAAATTTGGGTATCAGTGTTCTTTTCAGTATGCATTTACAGGCTCAAAATATTCTTGCATTGCCTTCTAGAAGAGCTCTGTATGAAAGATGATACAGGGGGTCCAAAGAACCATGGAGAACCAATTATATTTTAGTTCCTCCAGCTACATTTATTACCAGCTATCAAAAGATTAGCACAGGCTTCCGTTCCTAGAACTCTATTGCCAAAATGGAGGGAGTTTATGAAATCCCACTGTGAAAACAAACTTGAATTCCTATGGTTACGGTTAGCTCCAGAAGAATTCTAACTCTCTCAAACACCTCTGATGCAAGGAAGCTTCTTCCGTGGCTGTTCCCTTGCTGCCCCTTGCGATGTGAGCAGCTTCCTGCAGGACCCCAGGACACCAAACATGTTGGTGACCCGAACCTGCAATAAAAACCTCTTTCTTGGAGTTATAATAGGAATGCTATACAAGAGGTTCGTATACAATCCTTCTTACATAAGGATTATGTAAGAGATATTCAGAATACTCTTGGTAATACACAGCAGAGAGAAACCAAAGGATACTTCTCTCTCATGTATAACCAAACCCTTTTCTTCATATGGTCTCGGACATGCACAGATGTTACAGTAATGGGGCCTAGATCAAAAACTAAAAACAAAACAAAAACTAGATCTCACTCATCTACAATTGAGTGGGAGAGAGAAAAATTGAGGAGGTTTATATTTACCTCAGTTGAAATAAGGGACAATATATTTCCACTGTTCTACGAAACTTTATGATCACTTAACATAGACAGGAATTCATGTGGGTGCTGCAATATTTAAAGAATAATTAATAAAAAACCCCCCAACTTTAAGCCCCCAAAATAAATATGCCTGTCCTAATGCCAAGTCTTGAAAAGTATGAGGTAGAGGAAGATAAGAGTATGGAGAGTAAAGAAGGGAGAGACAGGTTAGGGAGAATAAAACAGAACAAAGAGGAGTGGGAGGGAAACAAAAGGATAAAAAATCAGAAAAGTGAAAGAAAGTCTGAATTACCTCATTTTTTCAGACATGCCATACTCCTGCTGCCTTCAGAGATTTTACAGTGGAAAGGAGCCAATATATTTCTTTGCAGCTTCAACAGCTTGCAGTGAGACTGAAGGGAAAAGAAGAACTCAGAGGGAGCTGACCTCTCTCCAGTTGCTCCTGTCCTAATGGACGGTATAATCTCCACTATAGCAAAGGAACAGAGAAGGCACTTAGTGAGTTACTCACAGCTCCCTGTCCCCTCCTCCTCCTCTTGGCCCCAAGCTTCTCAGATCTTTCTATTAAACTTTTAATAGTGGGGACCCCCTCACTCAGGGCAGCACTGCAGTCATTCATTAGTGTCCACCTAGGGAACAAATAACTCTTTAGCTGCACTGTAGGTGTCCAGCTTGCTTTGTGCCTGGAGGGGGATTTGTAATCGAAACAGGGAAGTGCAGGAGCAAAGAGGAAAAACGGGCAATAATAACCCGTGAACTCGCCTTTCATTCAGGTAACACACAAGACACATGTTAATGATTTCAGCTTAAGTACCAGGCAGAGAACTAACTGTACACTAACCAGGCAGAAACCACCTGCATGTGCCAATGTAGCTAAGCAGGGACTTGGAGAAGGGACAGTGAGAAATAACTTCATGAATTTGCAGGGAATTGCTTTGTTGTGTACTTTACTGTTCTTCATTTGCAAAGTCCCTTTTCCAACTTCACCCGAATGGATCAACAAGCTAACATTTTTTTCTCAGGTCTCATGGTTTAGCCCGTCTGCACAGAGTATTTCTATAACTGGACTAGGAGAACCTATGAATATCAAGACAGAATGCACTGGGATTTCAGCAGCTATGTTGTCTAATGGAACAAGAATATCAACCAGTTATGTGCTATGTTTGGCAGGACTGTTTCAGTCTTCATGGCTTAGATTGTCTGGACCATTAAGATAATTTTTAAATACAAATTAATTAAAACATAAGCAAATAGGAAATGGGTTTTGCTTCCTATAATTTCTGTCCAAATGCATGCATGTGCAAAACCAATCAAGCAATCTCTATCTAAGCACTCTCCTTCATTTGCCTCTTTCAGCTTTTTGGTGACGACCAGCCATGGCAGGGTGAGACAGCCATTTGCCCATCTTGCCAGCACCCTTGGATGAACACACCAGTCTGCAGCATATAATAGGTAGATGACAGCCAGAGAAATACAAGAGAAGAAAGATCTCTTTAACAGAGAAGAGAGGACTGCAAATACCTTCGAGGACAATGTTTCCTTTTTCATCCCTAAATATTTGCAATCAATACAGCTTCAGTATTTCGCAAGCTAATCAATAATGCAGTGACAGTGAAAGAGATGTGAGGGTCTTTTTAGTGGCTACAAACTGGCAATGATGCTTTGATGGCTCCTACCGAGGATTTATCATTTCATGGATAATCTCCTGCAGAACATTGTGGGGCCTGAGAGTTTAATATACAATATGGCTATAGGAAGGAAACTGGACAGATGACTGTACTTCATCTTAATTCCCTGTAGCATCATGTGCCAAGGAAATCAAAGGTAAAACAAAAGCATCATACATGTCTAAAAGTATGAATACAATGTACAAAGACTGTTGTTTGGACATTTAATAAAGCTAAGCTGGTCCATAAAAGGTAAGGCAGGCCAAGGCTGTTATGAGGAGCCACAATCCTGTTTTGCCATTGTCCTTGACATGAGGGACTTCAGAGGGACTTTCTTATTAACCATTATTATTAGAATATATTTTAAACTATTTTAGAGACACACACAAGCTAAACCTCTCTCCCTTTCCACATGCGTGCAATTCTCTAACTTCAAGAGGCCTGCTTCTGTGAATAAAATCAGAACAACTTGCTCCTAAAGAAAGAATCACATGCAGTACTTTAATAAATAGGAACAGAAGGGGTTACGTCTCCAAAGCTTGCTACAGTTTGGTCAAAATGCAGACCTTGGCCCCTGGCTCAAGTGACCAGAACATTTACTGAGATGTGCCACCCCTGAGGGAAGGGGTCTTCCATTCACACATCTCTACTGCTACGCAGGATGCTGCCACTCACACACAGCACAATCCTCCCAGGAAAAGGAAACACAAGCCGTGCACAGCAACATATTCTGACAATACCAAAGTCCACTTCCTTCTCCTTGAGGCTGTGATGTAGGGCCCTAATAATAAGTCCAAGAGCAGTCAGACAACATGTAAAATCTCATCATTTCACCTGCCCAGGAACCCTCTAGGCCTGAAAGGACTAAAATTATTCCTTACCCGTTCTCCTTTCTCACTTTTCTT